GTCCAAGCCAAAACTTAAGTAGAATACTTTTTTGTCAGATTACTTATTCAGCAAAAATCAGTCATATTTGAAAAATAAATACTTTTTGAATCACAAATATTAATATATATATATATATATATATATATCTGAACCAGTGCTCTTCAACGGGGTATATGGTATACCCAAGTGTATATCGGACTTTAAGTTGGGTATTCAACTGATAACGGGTATACGGAGGGTGTACAGCCTAAGTCAGGGATTCTAAACTCTAATATGATAAATTAAAAAATATTCAAGCGAAGACGACAATGCAAACGCGGCACACATAAAATGTCATTTACGCAAAGAACCGACGTGAGCACATTGTTACACCACAAATTATATAGATAATGAGATCACATGTCTGGGTTGGTGATTTCGTCTGTCATGCACTTCGTTTGATTTACGTTGAACATTATTCCCATTGACGCTAAGACCGTCAGTCAAATTTATAACTTGCGGACACTAGCATATTAGATTGCATGATGCTATTGCAGTACAATATGTGTTTAAAATTTAATGTTTATTTAAGCCTTAAATAAACATTGGTATTTGTAAGGTATACAAAGTTCTTGAAAACTTGTAAAAGGTATACCACGATAAAAAAAAGTTGAAGAACACTGATCTAAACGGCATTGGCTTGGCAATCAGAAATGTCATCATCACACGCCTGAATAGGGGAAGGTGGGGCACGTTGGGACATGGGGCACAGTGGAAAATCAGCTCTCACACTAATACTATATTTGGAATCCGGTCCGCGGTTTGATGTTTCAATCCGCCCTTCGGCGAGTTACAACGTCCCCGCAAACGGACAGCGGACGGGTAGAGCGACGCAAACTATGAGGTGAAATTGGTTTTTGGGGCCACCGTCTGATATCTTTCAGCTATTGTCCACTGTGAAATATTTATAACGTTGGCGAGTGGATGTGCCTTCCGAATTTTGCCGTAGGATGATCTGAAGATATTTGTTTATTATGGGGAACAATGGACCGGGGTTCAGTGGGACATGTCCTACATGGCACAATTCGACAGTGTTTGATACAAGTACTTAAAGACCTAGAGCTGCGTTATATTTTTATGTAACATTATGGCATCTTTCGACTCATGGTCCAATATGAAATATATTCGAGAATCAAAAATATTTTCAGATTCGGAAATAATTTAATTTGTATGCGATTTTTTTGGTGAAATATTTCGGTTGAACATTGATTTTAAAAATCTCGAATCTTCAAATTTGAGGTCTCCTTGTTCTTTAGACGATTATGCTAATTAATTGTTTATTTTTAAGGGCATACTTCGTTGAATTTTGACAGAGTGACCGATTGTGTCCCAGGGTCTGTCCGAATGTGCCCACATGTGGGGTACAGTGGGACACTTGACAAACGTTTTTCAAATCATTTTGGTGGTGAGATGTGTGTCGCAAGGGAATTTTTTAGTCGCTGAATAAAAACTACATTCACCCCTCTCTGCATTAATCCCGCAAAGTTATATGAATGTGCAGAATAAAGGGCTCAAAATATGTAAAAGAAAAAAAGTGTCCCAACCTTCCCCACTTTCCCCTATGTGCTAATAGTATTACTCTAAAACAATATTTTTTTGAAAATCATTCGTAATAAAGAAGTTTTACTTACTATTTATGAATTTGAGAACGATTTTTGCCGTGGTAATCATACCCCACACGAGAGTGTGCTTGGCTATTTTGGAAATTTCCATCAACTTCAAGCGAGTATTTAAACATTTTACTTTTATGGAAGTGAAGATCAATATTTTTTCGTAACGAACTAGGAATCTTTTCTATCAAATGCAAATTAATAAACGATGAAGATCTATTTCAGAACAGCACCACTTAGCCCAAGTAAATTTACTGATAAAGCGAAATACATCAGTTCTGGTGAAAATAATCTGGACCAAAAAACTGCAATATATACTGCACATTATAAACACTGTTTGCTTTGTCTCATTAAAAAAAAGTGATGCCACATATAATAATTGCCAACGAATACATCACATTAAAAATCTGTCTACCATTTAATCAAGCCAATTTAAACAGCGTGGTTCAATTAGTGGAAACACACCGTGTATTCCCGACAATATCATTTAATAATAAGTATCATTTATCGTAATTAAATTACTATCGGGCGTATTAGAGAATATTGTATGCAACTTAGTAGTTATCGCAGGTATTTTTACGGGGATCAGCTAAAATGCCAAAAATAGTTTGTATACTAAAATTACTTGGATCTGTAATATCTCGCCTACAGTAGAATCGGGAATGACGTAGTAGGCCGGGTGACGAAAGAAACTCAAATGAAGAATTAAGAATGGTACAATAGCGTCCTCACGCGATCGGTGACTGTAATCCGGCAAATATTCACGAACATATTAGATGGAACTTCTGGAAGGACAATCTGAAAATAACGAGTGGCCAACAATAACGCTTACTATACAACACTGAATATCAAAACATCTGAACTACAAAATTACTGGTCTGGTGGTTAGCTCTGGTTCTTAACCCTGGGAAGGACAGATGTAGTCCTAGATGGGCTTGTGCACAATGCAGTTAACAAGAAAACTTTCTCCTTGGTACGATATGGAAGATGTGCTGATGACACTGACATCTGGACCAAGGCAATGGTTGGAATGTGCCCCCTGGTCGTATAAATGAAGTGCGATTAGCCAGGCAGTCTCATACTGGAACTCAATCTACTGCCAAACGAAAACCGTTGTCGAGACGACGTGGGGCATTGCGCTAATCGTTAGGAATACGTTCGCCCCGCACCTCTGATTGTAGGCTGCTGGTTCACATTCCATGTGGGGTTAATGATGGGCGAGAGGATCACTGGACTCCTCGCCGCCGTTTGGTTGTTCACGTAACCGCCAGTCGGTCATGGCTTCCTCCACCATCAAGTCCATGCATCTCAAAATAAACAACTAGATGGGTAATTCCATATCCACATGACATTGACTGGTTACCGGACAAGAGGCAGTGGTTCACTATATTATGATTACGACCTCTAATCGGCTTTCCTATCCCGGATAAAAGACACGTGCCCATAACAGAGACCCTGATGCCGAATAATCGAGTAGAAACGACGCGTATTTTTAACTACAATTTACACAGTTTTCCGGATAAGCCACTGAGAAATCATATAATTGTGCATAGCACGGGTTTGTAAAGATCTGCCAACTAAATGACAACGCTCCCAGAATTTATGCAATGTTCCCGTGTGATAAGTAACTTCAATCGTATTAAGTTCAGGATGATACGGTAACTCATCTTCTAATCCTAGTTTTGTGAATTGTCCCGAGCTGACAGTTCATTCTCTTTTAACACAAGCATCTTGTTTACAGTAATACATCATATAAGTTACTATGTTATATCAATGGACATGCATAAACAACCTTCTAGGCAGATTTGCAAGGTGTTGAAAACTGATAACATCGCATTCCAGGGACAGTGGCAATCATTTTTCTAAATGTCCTGTGATCAGTATGTTGCAAATATGCTACCCAAGAAAAACGAAATATTAGAATGTAATGGCAGGCACAAATGAGTTAAAAAGTGTACATCAATATACACTAGTGCAGTGGTTCTCGAACGCCACGCAAAGGGGGCGTGGACAATTTTTTGAGTGAGCGTAAAGCTAATTAAAAATATTTGTTAGATTTGATCTTGCGTGCCCGTATACATTTCAAATATTTATATACCTTCCATCCATATAGTGTTTTTGGAATATTACATACTTTCACCTTACTATCTGTTATTTGTAGCTTATTGTCAGCTATTTATCTTTGAGATGGGGCGCGAGACTTGACAATTTTTAAAAAAAGGCCTAAAAAGTTTGAGAACCACTGCTCTATTTGTTTCCCGTATTTGGGCATCTTTTACACTCTAATATACCACAAACAATGCTGGGCCACGATTGTTGGCTGAACGCCAATGCGAAGAAATATAATAAATATTCATCTATATCATGAAATATGGCTCTGAATCTGGTAAGTTTTTTTGATAATTGTAGATTAGAATCTTGTTGGGTTAGTGCTAGATGTAAGGCAATGAAAAATATGACCTTTATCTGGAAATTGCCAAAAATCAAACATAAATCCATCAATGACCAATCAAGTTGTCCAACTCAATTGTCTACATATAAAGTCAACATGAGTAACAAAATGAGTAATCAGTGAATTAGTTGCACATTCATCAACAAGCAAATATATAACATTATATTCTTAAGAAAAGTTAATTATAAAATAATAAATAGGAAAAACGGCACCAAACCAATAAAGGCTTCGATAAATTCATAGCAGTCTTGTGAAAACCACTGTTTGAATTGAGTAGCAAACCGTTATTGACTGATCATGCTTTAACAAACTTTTTAAAATCCAGAACACTATAAATGACCAAAATTTGGGATGTGTATGGTGTAAATTGATTAGGTTCCACATTCAGGATTGCGTTAGTAAATGCAAGATTGCGCTGCATGTATTGGATAAAATTGGGATTCTATGATATATATTCTTCAATACAGCAACACTTTTCCAAAATCATGGAAGGAATAATGAAGTATACAATCGATGGCGCTAATTATTGTTACGCAATAGTTTGCTACTAACAAGGCTTACCATCTGTTAGGACCTGGTTTTTCATTTCACAAAATTTACATCCATGCATTGTCTTTGCAGGGTTTTATATATTAATTTCTTGTGACATTTGAGCTGAAGGGTTTCGGATTTATGATGATCAACAGCAACATTTGTTGCGAGCTTGCCACGTGAGCATGCTGCTGATGTAATAATGATGGCCTCCAGGTTGCTGTTGCATAGATTTTGGAATAATATTCGGTTGACTTACACTTGGGAAGTGATAAATGTGCTTGAGATGCACTTCCAATATTCGGCGGTTGACCTACTATAGAAAGCTTTAGTAGCAGTAGGTATTGCATCCTAAATAAATATAACAAAATTTTTTGAAATTATTATCCCACATTTCATAAATAAAAAAATTTGTACTCCCCGAAGTATGTGAAGCAAGAGATGGGCGGACACCGGAACATAGTATGTGTGCACAGGTCAGGGTTAGGCCATAATTTTATTCAAATTTTTCTTAGTTTAGTCTATTACGAGTTCGGGGACTAGCTAATCGACTCCCGTAGTATTTGTACCTGGAATTATGGCATAACCCTAACCTGGTACACATACTACGTTCCGGTGTCCGCCATCTTGGTTCACATACTTTGGGAGTACCAAAAAATTATATCTAATACAAAACATGAAATTACACTGACCTGTCGGTATGGAGAGCAGAAGTAGGAGGCATATTCACAGCCGGTATTTTCACTTTACCATCTGCCTGTCGTGGAACTCCCTGTTTAAAAGCCGTATCAATGTACCAAGTGTTAATTATAATAAAATTTCAATATTTCATAAAAACATACCAATTACTTACCACAAATGTAGAGTTGGTATTATCTTGAGGCAATGAAGAACTCATGCCTAAAGAAAATAAAGGATCAGCATATAGTGAAAATATAGCATTATTGGCATCCATACAAATGATTATATTATTAACTAACTATATTATTCAGTTGACCGTACCTTTTTGCCCGGGATGATCAAAAGCAGTTATGGATGAACTCGATGCAGCACCTTCAGTAATCTGTAAGCACAAAACAATGTTACCAATGTCATTTTAGAAAATGGTTATTTTGGAAAGTACCGTATTTCAAATTATGAATATTACAAATGTAACTAGAATATGCAATACAGCAAACAACTGATCTCTGCATAAGATATTGAACAGGGTGTATTGTACACCTTGTTTACAAGCATTCTCACCCCAGTTACTCCTTAAGTCTTGTGGCCGAGATCCATCCATTCATAGAGCAATTACTAACCAATGCCTGGTATCATTTCTCCATTCGGTACTCCCGAAGTATTAAGGCCTAATCCTAACCTGGTACACATCCTACATTTCGGTATCCGCCATGTTGGTTCACATACTTCGAGAGTACCCCCCATTCATTAAACACACCATCATGAGATTGTATTGATAAAAAATGAATTATATATTACCATATTTGAAGATTCAATATTTTGCTGAGCTTCTTTGGGAGTATCCTGAGAAATACAATTACACAAACTATTACGTGAATTGTAATAAACACAAATCACTATATAACGTAACTCTTTAAAATTGATTGTAGCTTGAACAGTGTAATTTAAAAAAACTTAAATACATAATTTATGCTGCATGTCAGCAACAGCTTTAGAATTTAATTGTAATAGCTATTTTGTTTGGTTTTTATGTTTTAGGAAAATATTTTGAAATTTCAATATCGGAATAAATTCGGAGCAAAATCCTAGATCAGTATATGAACACTAAAGGGCGCTCCAGAAGGTAACTAATTTTGTTCGCCTGTTTTACATCAAGTTGTGTAAAGAGACTGAAACCTATGGGTAAGGGGTATATTCACTTGGTTAACACAGACAGTGCCCGAAGTCGTAATAGAACTACTAACACTTAGGAAAATTGGAATAAAATTATGGCTCCAATCCAAACCTGGTACACATACTACGGGAGTACCCAATAAAGTGTATACAGTTTTGAATGAAGTGTTCACAAATAAGTTTTCAGTTTATTCGCATGAATTGCAATGGCAGAAGCCAAGAATTCTCACCTTAGATGCTACAACAGAAGTTTGAATCTGTGATAAAACATCCGTTGGTAACACTGATCGTAATTCTTTATTTTCACTTTTCAACCTATTGGTTTCTTCAGTGAGATCTTTAATTTTCTCTTTGAGTTCATCAACTTCATCGCGGACCGCTGACATCAGGTGTTTTTTCACCAGATCCTAAAAATCCTCCTAGTTAACATATGTATACACTGATAAATAGATGGCAGAGGACTGGACAGATTTTGCTACTTGTGATGAAATAAACAATACTGAAGATTCATAACCTAGAAACCAGTAACAAAAACACAAAATATAATTTGTAAATCCTTGCAAACAAGATGGCAGAACAGATACTCCAAATAAAGATGAAACGAATCCAAAAAATTCCCCTCTAAAGCAATCTGTGGAAATATAAAATGAGATTTAACTTATAAAGCTAATTTCCCCTACATAACCTTCGCAATAACAAGATCTGAGATGGTTATGCTCTATAATATCAACACATTCATGATGGAAAATTAAATTGTGCATGAAAACCACATATTTGCAAGAGGTGTTTGTATAAATAAATATGGAAAACAAAGTCATGTTATGAGTCCCATGACATTCTATCGCTGCTCAAGTGATTCATATACCCGAGAATGACAAAATTGTAGCTTCAAATAATAAATACAACTTCTGCTCTCTTACTACTATTATAATATATCCAGCAAAATATTACCGGTAATAACGAGTTGTAATAACAGATTGGAATAAAGTCAGAAAAATACTTGTGCAATCACATACCATCGCAGCTTCGATCTTGTTGTCAATTTTAAGAGTTCTTGAGGAAACACTGAAAAAATAAATATTTTGATTTGTTATATAAGATGGATTATAAAGTGGAAATTATTTTGAATATTTTAACATGTTACTAAAAATTGACTGAGATTTAGGAAACTTATATTGGGTACCAATAAGCTGTGGATTTTGTATATGGACCAAACCTATAGCAATAGATATTCTATTTCCAGGGTAAGAAAAATGCATCACAACTGAAGAGAGAAAAACTAAAAAACTGTACATGATAAAAAGTGGTAGAAGTCTCTTTTCAGGAGTAAATATATCTATCAAATGAATGTATATCTAAAAAAATTTGTGTTGTATGAGTTGATGAATATAATTGGTAATTGCCTCGAGAACAAAATAAAAAAAAATTCGAACCAATTTTTGGTCACTTGAGGATGCGAATTAATGTATGTATAAATATATAGTTGATTCAAGATGATCACAAATTAAATAATATCATAAAAATAGAAAGCAAATATTTTCATGTATCGATGGGTAGGCCTTGCTGTCCTGAGTCACATGATTATAAGTCTCCATAATTATATAATATATAATTGAAATATGAAGTATACAAATATCTGATATATGGTCTCAAAAATAAAACAAAATAACAGACATAAACATTATTTAATCATTGTATATTAGGTACATTATTGTATTGTACACTGTGATTACCTCATATCACCAGTAGATGGATCACCAGATGTTCTTGTCACATAATCATTCATTGCACTTCTCAATGGTCCAAGAGACATTAATGGCACATCTCTAATTAATAAAGCATGAATGTGAAACTGATTTCCAAAATACACATGAGATAAGCCAGTACTACTGATATAACATGTAGACATTATGATAACATATTTTCAAATCTTGAATGTTCAACAAGAAACCTACGGTAATATAAAGCAATATGGAATGGCCGGTTCAAAATTGAAAAGTTGGTCAATTACAATAAATGAAGAATTCATTTTTATATGCACATGGAACAGGACAGCTGCCTGAAATCCCTCGAATAGTCAGTTAATTACCCGATTTAAGATTTAACAATTTTGGTTGCGGAAAAATTAAAAATAAAGTGGTCAGATGACTTACCATGAAGTGACCAGATTTGTGTTTATGCTAAACTTAATATGTTGCTCAAAGGTCTACTAACCTTCCATCAGTTTTCAAATGTTTTGCTGCGAGTACGGCTTCCAAGTTGATAGATGAAGAAGAATTGTTTGAGGGAAAACCGGCAGAATATAACTGTTGCTTAAGAAGAGATGAAGCACTGTCAGATGGTTGCAATGAAAAAGGTACTGCAGTTGGTGACATTAATGAGTTTGTGTATGAGAAAGTATGAATAGATGTAACATCACTTGTAGTTCGTGTTTCACTAATAGATTGAGCAACTCCAGTCATTGGCGCCTGTGTGTCTGAAAAATCATACCAATTCCATCTGCCACGCATGCGCTTAACTGGGTGTGCAGTCTCTCTTTTTACCACTTTATATACTCTTGTGCCAGGTGCTTTTACACCAGTCACTGTAGATGGAGTGATACTGGCTTTGTCGTTGCTGTGATGGTCGGTAATACTGTAGTTGTAATAGGAGCTGGCACTGCAGATGATTCAGTTGTATCAGAGGAACCTTTTGTAGTGACTGAGAAGAAACTGGAATATTTGAAGAAACAGTGGTTGAAGGTTTAGAGTTTTGCTCTGGTGTGTTCTGGTCATCATGAGGTGACACTTTCGAGGTAACTGTGGCTTTATTCTGAGATGATTCAACCTGAAAATTTACAGTTGTTGAGTGAAACAAACATTAGTCATCTGATAAATACACACTGTACTTGCTGGAAAATGTGCAAGAATACAGTGTTCTCCCCAAAGAGTTTTTGCTCTCATTGTTAAATGGGGCTTAATAATCCTCTTCAAATAAAAATTTTATTTGAGGTGTTTTAGGTTTATGTACCAACCTAAAGTATTTGAGCAATTCTTATTCTAGCAACTTATTGATTGCTATGGAACTGTAAAAAAGGAGAGCATAATCTCTTTCCACAAAATAGCAAGTATGTTACTAATGTTAGTAAGCTTTTGTTAGATCATTGTCTAACTTCTTCAGACAAAACAAGATATAACTGCAAATATGAAAGATCAAAATTGTCAATTCAAGTTTCTATAATATACTTCCTAATATAGGCTACTTGATATTTCATGGAATAAGGATTATGCTATTCCTATTTATTTTTATATTACCATCTCCTCCAAATATCCTTGTGGCAAGAGACACACACAAACCCAAAGTAGGAAATAGACAAGGAGAAAGAACCAGCAGTTCAATACAAAATACCCTGGTACCCCCTGTATCAGAACTTTCAAATGTAATGCTAAAAAGTCAATACCATTTTCAATATTTCACAATATCATTCAATTCGTTTTAATATGATATGGGCTCGTTTGCTTGGTTGATTTAGAAAATTTTCAAACGAGACATACCCTTTGTCTGAATCAACCAACTTTTTGTCTTTCACCACAGAACCAGTTGCATTGTCATGCGGTAATTCTTGTGGTGATTCCAAATGTTCACTGTGTTGATTATACAAAGTTGAGTCTGTGGAAATAGTTGTAACAACAGCTGGTAGTTCATGTACTTTTTTGACATCATGGCTAACATCCTTTTGTGCAACTTGCTTACTAGGAATATTAAAAGTATCATGCATAGTCGTCTGTCCCACGTGAGATGGTTGCTGTAAATGGGGATGGTGAGCACTATAGTGATTTAAGAGTCCACTGCCATCGGGATGCACTGCGATTGCACCATCATGTGCACTGATGTTTAATGTGTCTTCTGAAGCAGTACTCTCTTGATCATGATCGACATCAGTCGCTCTGGAATATGAAATGTCAGAATACGATGCATGTGACTCATCAAGGTCATCGGCACTTTCTTCTCCATCTCGAACAATTGATGCGGGCCGACCGTGGCCACTGTCAGTAACACTGGTGATTTGAAATCCACTTTTCTTTTTAGTTGTTGGATTGGCCTGCTGACTGGAACGACTGGATGAAATGAAAGATGAGTATATTTAATGCAGGATTAGGTAGTTATTAGGAAACCCCTATTTCACTTTTTACTCCGAAATATTTTCTCTTGGGTTATACTAGATAGGTGTGGACAACCTCATGCTTGACAACAAGGTGATCTACTAAAAATACTTTTGCATATAATTCACTGATTCTGTATATACTCTCAGCATATTTTAAGCAGGCTTCAACTAAAAGTAGAAAGAATATTAACAGAATTACTAAGATTTCTTTTCTATACAAAAGATGTTACTACTGAGCTAGATTATCTGAATAGTATTGTGCAATTCTTCAAAATTACTTCAATTACTACTGGTTATTAAGAATATCATTCAAACAACAGCTATCCTATAACGAATATTTTCAATTTATATAAAAGTTAATTGCTCATGTTTCATCACAAGCAATGTTTTAAAATAAGAATAATAATATTATCTTACTTGGAGTCAGCCTCATCCAAGACAATTTCAGGATTATGATTACTCATGACATGCTACAACTAATTCTACCAAACCTGAAAAAGAACAACAACAACAGAGACTGTCAAGTGAAACATACTTTGATTCGATAGCTATACATGCCTAATTTACATTACAGTTTGTTATTTATGTAATATCATTTTCATGCTGCTAAGAATGGATTTGGACCATATTGTTTGATGAATTGACCTATTGAATTCCATGGATGACAGTATGACACATCAAACGCCTTTGACGATTTACTGAATTTAAAAAAGGGGTTACAATTATTTGGCTAGTCATTCTGGGGTCTGGTGCAGTTTCGTACCTCAAGTACTTCTAGTGGACGTATCCTAACCATTTTTGCACATGGCAACTCTAACCCCCACCTGACTAGGACATCCGAAAATTACGTCACAACGGCGTCACAATCACGTCATAGAGCTTGCCAAAGTATACCAACGATCGCCCGAAATGGGATCTGCGCTAACGATAAAGAACTTACTAACGGCAGCGATATCTCTCATATCGGGATCATTGCAACAAGAAAAATAGCTTTCTCGATTTCGGGTGATTGTCTGGTTCGTATAGTTTGAAGGGCCTTATGAAGTAATTTTTGGATGACGCGGTCTGGTGGGGTTAGGATTGACATGTGCAAATTTTTTTATGCTACGCCCACTAGAAGTACTTTAGGTACGAAACTACACTAGACCCCAATTCTGTATATTACCCAAAAATTATTTAAACAATGGTAATGAGTTTTGTAATAATGGTAACAATGGAGAAAAGCTCTTTTAGTAGAACTGACTACCTGTTGAAATTGACAATCTCAAGATAAAAACTTTCTCTAATTTTAAGAGTACTTTCAGACTTTCAATTAGCATAACAGAATTGTTTATCTATGACGGGAGTGAAGGACCAACTAAATACATCAGACCATGAGTTGCCCAGTAACTGAATGTAGTAATTGATATATCTGTATATCGTAATTCTTACAGCCTACATATGATATTACCATGGTAGTTTAATCACAAGAATTTGATTGAAACAAAATCCCAATGCTCGCTGGAATTGTGACTCAGGCGAGCAAAACTCACTTTAATTCCAAGCAATCACTTCACAACTTGGTGAAACGCATTTTTCCAGCAACCTCAACCAGTTCACGTCAAGCAGATAAACTGAGAATAGTCAGATAGTAGTAAGAACATGAATAAAAACATTTGGCAAGAAAGTTGCTTTGAAAGCTATACTTTCAGGAAACAGATGGGAACCTGGAAACAACCTTAGCTGAGACAACTTGACATCTCTCTGGAACGAGGGCATCTGGCACGGCATAGATGCAACAGATAGTGCCATGCTTGTCTCGATAATATTTAAATCAATTGCAATATCTGAATATGCGTCATGCGAGTGCCACATTACAAAAATTGCTTTCTTTCTACTAAAAACTTTGGAATGCTAGATTCATTCAGTGATTGTGAATCATGATATACCCAAATAAACTAATAGTGAAAAGATGATTGTATAGCAAAGATAGAAAACAAGGTACGGTATAACAACAACAAGTATGCAGCACAGGAATAGGCACGACCCTTCCTTATTTTTTGATGAGTTCTACAATTTTCTAGGCATTAAAATCTATGAAGCATGACAGGCAGCATTTAGTTACCGTATGGCAAGAACTACCCAAAACGGTTTGCAATCACCTTCATTCTTACAGCTGTACAGCCTTAAAAGATAAATTTGAAAAGCATAACCCCACCATTCTGTCATTTTGCATCATCTCAATAAAAATATTACAAAGTTTTCCCTAATGCAGTACCGGTAACGGCTAATGTCTGAATGTGCTTACCATATCATGCCCTGATGAAGTTTTTCTGAATAGAAATTCGGAACGTCGGCAAATTATATCGTTTTGCTAACACCGGTTGTGCTTTATTTATTATCGATAGTCTACCTACTGCTGTAACTGGAAGTCAACATCGCAATTATATATTTACGAATATACGGTACACATCGCTTTTTTATTTCCCACTGGCAGACAGGATAATATTTAAAACGTTAAAAAAATATATCTAACGTTAGATTTTATAGCTAACATCTAGACTTCAAATTTTACGTCTAACTCTCAAACAAAACATCTAGCCTAGTACATCTGGCTATAAAATATCTTAAGTGGCAGCCCTGCCCAACAACGATGAGCATCCTATATAACTAAACCATTGGCGTAAGTGCATACGATACGTTCGGGCCACAGCACAGGTCACTGTTTTCAGAACGTCGTCAAACCTAGAATCCGGCGGACAACGACGTAAAATGGTTGACAGCGAAATATATAAACGATGAACTTATGTACTGTATTGTATATGATAGCAGCGACTAGAAGTTTGGAAGACATTTATATTATACTCGCTGCGCATCGTGTTAAGCGTCTTGAATATCGCGGTGGGTACGCAGTCCGCTGGTCGTTTACGTTCCTCCAACCATCAGGTCTTCTAAAAAATAAAACTGGCTAACTAATTCCATACCGCTACCCGACATGGACTGGTAATCGACCGGACAATAGGTCGTCATTTGCCATACGATTATTGTCTTTCCCATCCCATACTTACTCCACATCTGTCAGTGCTATTCTGTTTCCCGTGCAAAATAGGAGTAGAAGCATATATATATAGAGAGGGAGTTTATTTCGTTTTGTGAAACCAAGAAAACAATATATACATACATACATATATCAATATCAAATAAACAGATGTTTTCGGTATATGACTGGGAAGCAACGATACGACCTTCGGGGGTCATCAGAGTCATTTGTCACCCTATTCAATTCAATTAAATAAGCATAAAAATAAATAACAGGTTCAGTGTCAATATATAAATACCTCTCATTTTTGTTTACTATACAGTGTATACAGTATTTACATGTAATTACCATTTTTTATTATCAATTGAATTTCAAAAATATAAAAATGATCGAAACGAAATAGATTGGAGCTCAGGTAATTAGATACAAAATATTTGGGAAATTAGCTATTAGCTTGGCATATTGACTTTATAAAATGAAGAATGTAACATTTTATAACACGATTTGGGACAATTTGAATGTGAACATCTAATAGTCATAATCGAATACGTAAAATTATATGAAATCATTTTACAGAGTAAGTATCATGAATGCAATATAAGCTTGGCATATTAGCCTTATGAAATAAAAAAATGAAGAATGCAACATTTTATAACATGATTTGGGACACTTTAAATATGACCATTTAATAATACTGTAGTAATTAAATATAAAATAGAGAGTTAAAGTTGCTTATGAAATATCATGGTAGCGATATAAGGTGAAATTTTGGTTTAGAGCAGCAAAGTAGGCCTACAACACACGGTATGTAACATTGGTGAATAAAGCGAAGGATTGCGAACAAAAAAAAAAAAACAGTAATCTCCAAATTCACAATGAGAAAACAATAACAAGTCACTGGGAATGCACGAGTCAAGCATATTAGAATTGCAAGTGTATATGGATTCAAGGACACAGACACAGTAGGCTATATTTTATATTTACACCTGACTAGGCTAAAAGCAAATATATAAATATCATACAACAACAATTGTTTTATATGATGGTATTCAATTTCAAGCGGTAAAAGAATATCATTTTAGATGGCAAAGCAAATACCATACTAAATTTAAAAAATGAAGAATGTAACATTTTATAACATGATTTGGGACACTTTAAATATGAACATTTAATAATAGTAATCATTCAGTGGCGGCGCGTCAATGGGGCTAACCGGGGCAATGCCCCGGTTGTTTTATCGGTATAATAAAAAATATTCGAAAAATACCTCAATATCGGTTGCACAGACTGTCTACACTAGCCATATTCTCCCGACATTATGACGACACAATGCCGACGTTTCTTACAACAACGTTTGACATAATCACGCATTCCTTCTCGTTCGTTGGTTGCTTGAAGAGTTGATAGTTTCCTCACCTTCGTTTTTGTCGCTTGTTTCGCTATTTGAATCAGTTAGAGACCTTTAGTCCATTTACGCTCGCCACCGCACCTCTAATTACTCTGCGTGGGTTCGCAGGTTCGAATCCCATGCAGGGATGGTTATGTGCGAGAGGATTGCTGGACTCCTCGCCGTCGTTGGGTGGTTCACGTAACCGCTGGTCGGTTACGGCTTCCTCCACCACCAAGTCCATGCTTCCGAAAAACAAACAATACAGTAAAAACTAATCCCATACCCGACTTGGAATGGTAACCGGACGAGAGGCCGTGGTTCGCCATATGGATAAGCCGTCTTATCGGCTTTCCTCTCCCCCGGGATAAATATGTAAATCCTATCCTATCCTGCTTTCGATTTTCCACATTCCTTTTGAGCTCCTCACTTCTTTCCGGCTTCGCATTTCTTAGCCTTAGACCTCATAATGAATAAGGTTGATGCACTACTTCGCACTCCGTTTTCGCAGCTGCCGCTGGAACAAAAATTAGAGGTACAACGTCTTGGGCCTTATCAACCAAAAAATTGTTCACTGAAACAATCCCATGACGGGGGAAAGCGTCGGCGTACATTCTGCGCAGAAACTTGGTATAAAAAAACACGAATGGTTGTGTTACAGCGAGGACAAAAATGCACTTTTTTTGTTTTATTGCCTACTTTTTGCTACCGCCGTGACTCAAGTTGGTGTAAATTTGGTTTTGGAGATCTTAAACATCTTTCCGAGCGTGCCAGGGATCATCAATCTTCTATGGAGCATCTGGACAATGCAGTAAAATACCGAACATTCGGAAATGTTAATATTGCAGCACAGTTGGATGAGGGACGCCGTTTTTTTTGCCCCGGTTGCTCATTGTATATCGTATTCTCTTTTTTATCTTCCACTCGCCGCGTTTGTCTCGTTTGTTTTCTGTTTCTTTTACTAAATCATCGGGGCTAGCCCCGAAATTATGACGACACAATGCCGACGTTTCTTACAACAACGTGTTGACATAATCGCGCATTCCTTCTCGTTCGTTGGTTGCTTGAAGAGTTGATAGTTTCCTCGCCTTCGTTTTTGTCGCTTGTTTCGCTATTTGAATCAGTTAGAGACCTTTAGTCCATTTGCTTTCGATTTTCCACATTCCTTTTGAGCTCCTCACTTCTTTCCGGCTTCGCATTTCTTAGCCTTAGACCTCATAATGAATAAGGTTGATGCACTACTTCGCACTCCGTTTTCGCAGCTGCCGCTGGAACAAAAATTAGAGGTACAACGTCTTGGGCCTTATCAACCAAAAAATTGTTCACTGAAACAATCCCATGACGGAGGAAAGCGTCGGCGTACATTCTGCGCAGAAACTTGGTATAAAAAACACGAATGGTTGTGTTACAGCGAGGACAAAAATGCATTTTTTGTTTTTATTGCCTACTTTTTGCTACCGCCCGTGACTCAAGTTGGTGTAAATTTGGTTTTGGAGATCTTAAACATCTTTCCGTGCGTGCCAGGGATCATCAATCTTCTATGGAGCATCTGGACAATGCAGTAAAATACCGAACATTCGGAAATGTTAATATTGCAGCACAGTTGGATGAAGGACGCGCGGTTTCTATTCGTCGGCGCAACCAAAACGTCGAGAAAAACCGCCATGTTCTCGATCGATTGATAGATGTTTTGAAGTTCATTGGTTGTCACGAGCTGTCCCTTCGTGGGCACGATGAACGGGCTGGCTCTTCTAATAGAGGGGTATTTTGGATATGGTGGAATACACTGCATCCCTAGATACAGTATTGAGAGATCATCTTGATGCCGCAACTGTTTCGAAAGGGACATCTAAGGATATCCAAAATGATTTGCTCGACTCACTGTATAAAATTTATTTACAACATTTGGCTCTGGAAATTGAGAATTGCCAGTCCCTTTCGATTCAGTCTGACGAGACAACTGACATCACGTGCGTATCCCAACTGGCTGTGATTTTTCGGTTTGTGAAAGATGGTAAACCTACCGAGAGATTTCACAGCTTTGTACCAATCGTTGATCGCACGGCTTGCGGGATATCGGCTGTACTGAAAGAAGTGTTACAGCCTTACAACGCGAAGTCAAAATTGATAGCTCAAACTTATGACGGCGCGGCAGTCATGAGTGGGTCGAAACATGGCGTTCAAGTTTATATAAAAGAAGATTTTCC